TGTGTGTGTGTGTGTGTGTGTGTGTGTGTGTGTGTGTGTGTGTGTGTGTATGTGTGTGGATAGATGGGGGCCACCTTATTAACAGGCTTCCCTGGTAAACCTGATGCTTCCAGCTGAGTTATTCTGTGGAGACGTGACCTCTTTGTTTTCTCCAGAACTGACAGGGAAAGTGACGAGGACGCCCTCTTGGCTTTTGCGATAGTCCAGTCCGTGCCACAGGAGCCCTCACACCGTGTGGTCACGGGGCTCACTATATGTAAGGCAGTGTCCCAGGGTTCTTCCGGCATCCTGGCATCAAGTCTTGTAACGTGACCGCCAGCGGCCTGAAAGGTGAGCGTAGTCACTAGCCAAGCCTCCTTGCAATTTGAAGACACCACAGCGGTTAAGAGGTGGCGTTGGAGGCTGGACCCCAGCTTCTGTTGTGACCAGAAAGATGAATCAATTCTTTTACATGCATTTATCTATTTATTTATGTCATGTGTGTGGCAAGGAAGTACCACAGAGGGTGGTCTGAATGCCAGGTCCCCAGCAGCTGGCCTCGCGTAGGTTGGTCCAGGAGACAGGGCCTGTGTGGTGGGACCCTGTACTCACTGACAAGCAAGTCAGTCCTCTGCCACTTGGCTGCCTCTGTGACACTGGGCAGACCTTGTGGCCTTCCTTGAGTCTCTGTGGGAGAATTAGAGTAGGTGATATTTAAGGGTTCTGCCTCTACTATGGTCTTTAGGACAATGAAAATTGAGGCAGGAGGATAGCCTGGGTTACATAGTATTTTATCAAAAAAAAAAAAAAAAAAGGAAGGAAGGAAGAAAGAAAGAAAAGGGGTCATCAAGATGGCTCAGTGGGTTCAGTTACTTGCCACGAAACCTGATGGCCCAAGTTCAATGCCCAGAGCCCACATGGTGGGTGGAAGGAGAGAACTGCCTTTGGAAATTTCCTTCTGACCTCTGCATGTATACCATGGCGTGTGTGCACATGCACGGGATCAGTAAACGTACAGAAGGAAAGCTGAAGGGAAGGTGCGACTGAGGCAGTGTGATGAACTCCCAGAGGCCTCTGCAGCTTCCGCACACTTGCCGACCACCCACGCTCCTAGGCCCATTCCAGACCACTGAGTAGAGACAACTGGGGATGCAGCCCACAGCCAGCCCTCCCCGAGTGTCCCTGACCCTGCACTGAACACCACGGCTCGGGAGGACTTCTCAGGCCCTGCGGGAGGACTTCTCAGGCCCTGCAGTCTGGCCTGGCAACCTTGCTTCTCGGTTGGAGAGGACGGATGGTATGGGGGGGGGCAGGCGGGGAGGAAACAAGTCTTTGCTGGTTGCCTCCCTCCTGGTTCATAGCTTTAACGTCCGCTCCTTCTCCCTCTTTCCTGTGTGTCCTGTGATGACCTGAGCTTATTAAGGCAGCGGGTGGGTTTTCCATACGCCTGCCTCAGAGATCCTGAGGAGGGATTTTTAATTGCCTGACTCCACATCGAGGGTGTTAACATTTATTAACGTCAGCTTCTCTGATTGCTTTTTAACAAGGCGGCCACTGTGTGTAGGAGATAACGCTGGGTTCAGTCCTGCGGGACCTCAGAGGCTGCTTAGAATAGTCCAGTACAGGGAAGTAGAGAGGCTGTGACTTGGGGGAGGAATGGTGACGCAGGCCGGGCTCTGGCTGGTTGCGTGTGGGCAGCTGTCCCGGCGGAAACCCAGCATGATGAGTAGCTGGTTAGAGCCTTCAATGGCATGTAGAGGTTGGAATGTTGCAAGTCCACAGTCAAATTATCTTGGGGTGCCCCCTTGCCCCCAAATAGCTCCTTTTTGCTGACCTCTGTATGTAAGCGAACATCTCTGTGGCCTCTAGGGAAATCCTTCGGGATCTGCTAACAGATCGCGAGCTTCCACCTAGCAACAAAAGGCTAAGGATGCCATCAGCTGTCACCGAGACTTCCCTGCTTTGCTGTAGCCCATCCACCTGATGGAAAACTGTCTTGATTTATGACTTTCTTTGTTCCGTTACCGTAAAACCGTCATCAAACTGTCACCATGCTAGAACATGGCATTTGGGGCAACCGAGTCCGTGTTCCCTGGGCATAGTCATTCCCATTTGTCTCTGGAATAAACTATCCCTTATTCCTGTCTGGGTAAGAGCTGTTTTTTTTTTTTTTTTTTTAGAGACAGGGTTTCTCTGTGTAGCTTTGCGCCTTTCCTGGAACTCACTTGGTAGTCCAGGCTGGCCTCGAACTCACAGAGATCCG